TACTGTGTTGTAAAATATTTAAATATATTTTGAATTCATAAACATATATAATCATAGAACTAAATCTTGTATTGATATTACAGTAGTTTAATTGAAAGATAACAATAAAGACCTCGTCACTTAAGAGGACTTTGTATTTAATAGAGATAAGTTTTAGGAGAAAATATTAATAAAATAGAAACGTCATCTAGACTGAGATAAAGATGGAGGAGATCACTTTACGTTGGAAATTTTGTGGCCACAGATTAAAAAGCTTTTTGATTTCAGGGATTCCTTATAAATAAACACCTCTGATTATCGTTCCTTCTGAACCTCACCAACTCTGCAGGTTTTTTTTCAACATTGTTTTCAAAAGCTGTACGATGGATTGCTGAAACAACAGCACTAGTACACTATATATAGTACACTATAACAATATATGTGTAATATTTACTCAAATAGAAAAACACATTGAAAACTGTTATTAATGATTTCATGCTGTTGTCCATGTCCACATATTTCGCAGAGCAGAGCCTTCAGCCAAGCATTGCATCCACAATAAGTAAACTGAACAAGAATGAAAGTCTTAAAGTTAGTTACTCTTCATCCTGTTTTATTCTTTTGACTCCTTTCTTATTTAATAGAAATCCCTCAATTGCTGTTAATAACTTCAAAATGTCTGTGTGGTTTGGTACGTATGTGTACAGGTGTTCAGGCTGTGAAAGATCATGCATTTCCAAGACTTAATTTGCATTAATGATCTCTTTGTGTTTGCAATTTTAACTTTGGTAAAATGCTAACTATTTTGAAATACTATAAAACCATTTTATTTTTGTATGTGCATAGAAAATTCAAAACATCTGGAGTCTCGAGTACTGGTTTTCCTGCTGTTTTTCCTGCAATTCCATCCATAACACAATTATTTTCCACTTTGGTTTTGATGGCGGGCATTAACTGTTTAACCTACATGTCCAAAGTGATCTGTTTCATACAAATTTCATTCCTTCTTTTTTATTTTCTTGCAAGAAATCTGGGCAGAAGTGACTGCTTTTTGTGAGGGGGCAGAAAAATCAGTCGGTCACTTCTGTCTATAGATGACATAAGAATTTGCAGGACAGTACAGAGTGGTAAGATATAGTGCACTGCCATTTTATCTCCCATATAAAATAATATACATGTCTTAAAACTGAGCACACTGTTTTAGATTCAGTAATTATCAGCACGTAATTTTTACACTGAGGTCACTAAAACCATCCGTTAATTATTTGCTTTTTCTCTTCAGAGAATGAATTCAAAGTACCTAAAATAATTGCCTAAACGTGCAGTGCCTCTCATTTACGGCTTATTCACAGTGAATTGAATGAAAATAAATGTTAACTTTTTACAACTTCCTAAAAGTCTGATTAAAAATGAAATATTCAATGTTAACAGAAGGAATGGCCATTAAAATTATCTGCATTCCTAGCTGACTATTTCACTGGAGCAATATTATTATTTGTTAAATGACTCCTTTTAACTTTTCAATCAATTATGCTGTTGTGATGATAAATATTACACATTGACTGATGAATTGTATTTCATAGTCATAGCTACATATCCCAACCAACAAAAAACAAGTTATTTTAATATTTCCAGTGTTTAAAAATTGGCATATCTTATGAAGTATGTTTTGTTTAGGAAACAATAAATGTAACCGTATGAGAAAGATCAGCTTTCTTTGGAAAATGTCTAATGTAAAAATATGCAAGAAATTTAGAAGATATCTTAAGAATTTAGAAGGACTGACATTAGGACCAGTTAATCAAACTTAATTTAAATGGTACATAACTCATTAGGGGGTGTATTTGTATAACGATAATGAGAATTGTGCACCCAGAAGGCTGTGACAGTTGTGTTTTGGGGAGAGAAGGGGAACTTTGACATGATGTCTAAATGTATGTTGATTTTTTCCGGTAGAAATCCACTGCTTAAGATGTCCAAGTTATTTTATGAGGAAGTCTATGTTGAAAGACAGGTGGATTTGTGGCAGGGCAGCACTCTGCATGTTTTTATTGGATTTAATCTTAATTTTTAAAGAAAAAGTATTACATATATTCCACAAGAAAGTCCTTGTATTTAAAAACATGACATTTGTGGTCAGTGGATTTGAACTTCATAAAGATCGAAACAATTTGCATGGGAATATTATAGCATGAATATTAGCTATTATTGTAGTGACAGAAATTACAAAGCAAAAACGTACGAAAATTCATTTATATTCAGGAAACTGGAGTTTTAGTCCAGGTATGCTCACTACCTTGTAAGGATGCTTTTAATGCCAGCAAGACATTACTGTATACAGAAGTTCAGAAGAAAGAGGCTGGGATGTGAGCAGTAAGTGTAAGTCATGGGATGATGTTCAACCGTGATATAGAGACTTTGTAATGATGGATGGATGGATGGATGGATGGATGGATGGATGGATGGATGGATGGATGGATGCAAGGAAGGAAGGAAGGAAGCTACTGCTGATTGAGAATTTGTTAAATTAAGCTGTGCTGCTTTAGGAGGACTCTACAAAGCATCCATACATTGCAGTCTTTTCAGAGACTTTCAGCTCGTGCCTGGATTGTCAAGCTGTGGGTCAGGTTGCGCGGAGAGGCCCTGGGTCTCGGTCCTTGGCGGTGCCCTGAGCATGGCTGGACGGGGCCCTGGGCAACCTGCTGCGTGTCCCTGCAGATGAGGTGACTGCCAGTGGTCTCTTCCAGGCTAAATTACTGACACTTGTGCCAGATTGTTGTGTATTTGCACTTTCTGAGAAGACAGCGGCCTGAAATATTTTCCGCTAGCGGCCTCCTCTTCCACCGTTACACCAGCGCGCGGCTCTACTGCTGCCCATGGGGAAGGTGCAGCTTCTTTAAGCTTTCTGTGGATTTTGGTGCTTAAAAACCCCACGTCTGCTCTCCCTGCAGCCTCAGCATTGTGGACATGTGAAAATCCATAGGCAGCCTCTTTTCCCACACTGGGTAGGAGGCCAGGACTACAGGGCTAATCTTCTTAGGGGTCTCCTAGAGCACGCCAAGAGTGGAGCTCAGATGAGGAAACCCAGGGCTCCAGCTTTGCCGTTGCTGTGAATTTTCCTTGTGGCCGGATGGTTTTGACATCTGGCATTAACTACAAGAGTACAAGTGCATTAAGAGAGATCTTCTACTAGTAGCTGTGAAAAGAGGGTCGCACACACCAGTGGTTTTCAAAAGAGACAAAAGGCGCGGGGCTGTAGGACAAGAAGGCTCAATTCGCTTGAGCCATCCTTGAAAGGGTGGTGGGAAGAGCTGATGAAAGAAGCCAATTTGGAGAAATACAAAAGCTTTAATGTGAGGAGCTCTTAAACCTTTGCTGCCTGCGAGGTGAAGGAGAGGAATCCCGCTTTGGAAGAGCCTGGCTTTGTCGGGAAGTAAATGAAGTAACACGTTTCCAGCCCAGCTTTGGGGGCTCCTGGGCGGATTGGGGAGGCGGGATGCACAGGGCCATTACAGGCTCTTTTGTAAAATGTTCTTTTGTGAGCTGTTATTTAGGAAAGACAAGGGGGGAAAACACTGTACATTAAAACCTGCTTAAACTGCCTTTAAGAAGACATGGGAATTCCTCTCTGTAGGTGCCTTTGATAGTACATCTGCTGAGACAGAGCTGTCGTGAAGCACTGTAGCATGAACCTAGCAAATCTTGCTACCCTTGAGCTCTTTGTTTTATATATAGCTATATATATATGCTATATATATATAAAAAAATACAAAATACATGTTTTTCGCATATGTAGTACAAAGTTTTGTTAATGTATAGATTTATAAATTCCTGGGAGGCGTGTTGTCTACAGGTAAGTGAAGAGGGCCAGGCTATGTATATGACATATATGCTTAAAGTACTTTTTCTTTTTAATAAGAAAATAGAGAATTTAAATGCTGTTCAATGGGAGATGAGGCTCCTTGTTCTTGATATTGCTATTAATCAATTACAATAGTAGTTGCTTGTTACTACAAACTATTTGTAAACTTTTGAAATATATGTATTTTTTCAGCCACCTAATTACTTCTTGACATAGATTATTCCATGTTGGAACATAATTTTTTAATATCAGAAACAGATATTTTTCCCCACTTGCCAGTTCCTTTCCTCATACCAAGCAGTAAAATCTGCCTTTCATCTCTTTTTGTGTTGTTGATGGACCAGCCTGTGTTTTTATGTGACCAGGGAACTTTTTTCCCCTCCTTTCTGCAACTAACTTGTGAATAGAAAAAGAAATGGCAATTTGGTATCTCTGTGCTTAAAACCAAAGTTAAGAAATGAATGGAAATGGTTACCAGATGCAGAAACGCTGTTGTGTGTGATTCAGTGGTACTGCTTGTTGTATGCCTCACCGGAAGGGTCAGGGATGCAGAAATGCAGAACCTGTGCTTTTTTTGTCTTGAGTGTCAGTAATCTGGGTTTTTTGCAGAAATACATGTTACACAGAATCACAGAATGGTTGAGATTGTTAATCGTCCTGCTAAATTAAATGATGGAACAGCTAACACAGAAAACCTAAGCAACGTTGCTTTTATTATAAAAGCTCTCCCTAGAGTTGGGTTCCTCATCTCTTCTCATTGGGAACGTTGCATTTTGCAGTGCCAAAGAGTCTGAGGGGACTCAGGTGCTTTAAGGAAAATATGAGCATTGTACTCTTCCTTTTTGATAATGGTTTGTCACTTTAGACATGCAGTATTAAGTGGAAGTTTTTAAAAGAAGTATGTTCCATTATTTGTAAAATATTCCATCCTATTACCAGAACATGTTTAGAGGCACCAAAGGCCTCAAATCACACCTTGCAACAACCCCTCTCCTTACCCCTGCAGGCATTTCCCATTGAACCTCACCAGAGTGATTCAGTTCTAAGAAAGGATGCTAAACACTTTAAAAGCATTTAAAAAAAAAAAAAACCCACAAATCTTCATGGACTGTTTTTTTTTTTTTAAATAACTAATTCTTTTATATGTTTGTTGATGCAGGCCACAGAAACGTTGTTTCGAATGGCAGTTTCAAGAGGAGCTATTACACCTTTAAGACATGGAGAAGTAAGCCAAAAATATATGTTTTTTTGCACTTGTGGTACAAAGTTTTGTTAATATATAGATTTATAAATTCCTGGGAGGCATGTTGTCTGCAGGTAAGTGAAGAGGACTGAACTATATTTATGACTTGTGTACCTGTGTTTAAGTGCTTTTTCTTTTCAATGAGAAAACAGAGAATTTAAATGGTGTTCCGTGGAAGATTAAGTATTTCTCAAAAAGTGCTCTGATTTTCTTTGGCTGAATAATAATTCAACATTGTAATATAAATGACTCAGAAGAGTATCTTTTATCTAAGTCTTTTCGATTGTATTTTTTGAAATTAAAAATTCTGAAATCTGTAGGAATTTACATGAAGTTGAGCTTTGTTATTGGGCAGCTATAGACAGGTTATGTAGCTTTTTCTGCCTGTTCCTCTCGAGAAGAGAGTAACTTCATGTGACTTAAAGAGATAAACAAACTGCCCATGCAAATGGCAAATGGTATTTTCCTTCTTTTGTTTTACCTCATATCACATTAATATTGTTCTGGAAACTGCGGATTAAATATCTCCAATATTACAGGAAGCAGTTTATGCTTTGGGTGAATTATACTGAAAAATAAAAAACAAAAGGCTCCCATGAGCCATGACAGTATAGAAATGAACTACTCTGGGCACTGGCACTGATGAGGTTTCAGTATAGAAACTTTAGTGTCTCTTCATGGCAGTCTGATTTGGATAAAATTCCTAGATAAATTTTGTGAGAAGTTTATACAGTAGACATAGCATTAGTGTGGAATCTAGACTGAACACATAGCCTGGAATCCCAGCTATGCTGTAAAATGTTCCTTATGCTGATGAAATTGTCTCAATTCTCTCCTTTGGAATAAAGTAGCATATTTTTCTATTTTTTAAAACTTTTCTTTCATATCTGCCACTGAGATGCAAAATGTGAGATTTCCTACCATGCTGTTGTCCATAGTTTTACTTTTTCTGGCGATGGATCCTTTGGACATTATATGTACTGCTGTTCATTTATTTTTTACAGCAGAATTTAATACAGTTTCCAGTTGTGATGATTAGGAAAAATATACAACGCTCCCAAATTCTCTAGGTTTAGGTTTTTTGGTCGAGGGTACCTAATGTTCTATCTTAATGAGCAGGTTGCCCAGAGAGGAGATGCGATCTCTATCCTCATCAATACTTGGTGAACCATGTGAATTATGGAAAAATCAAAAGAAAAAAAAAACTTTTAATGTTATTAATGGTATCATGAGATGTAAAATATTGGTGCTATCAGAGGAACAACAAAACCTTTTGTGAGCAATATGTCAGTGATTTCTGTATCTGATGCATCTTACGTAGAACCAGTTCACATAAGGGTAGAAAAAGTTCCACTTATTTTCTTCAGATACTGTTTTGTTTTTTAATCAAGTGAAATTGCCTCAAGGCCAGAGAGAAGCAGAAAAACAGCAAGCTCAGTGGGCAGAGGATGTAGCTGTGATCAGGACAAAAGGAACTGGGTGCAAGGACCATCTCCCCCGCTTGATGGTGAACTCATACGTTGGCTTGCTGCATCCCATGACACTGTATCCTAGATATTTTGACCTTCAGGGTAAATGCTGTTATTGCTAAGCTCATTAATTTAGTGCTAGGAGAGACAAAGCGTGTAAGCGTGTGAGGTTAGCTGCCTTCTGTAACAAAACAATGGGAGAAAGAATAACTTTGTTTTTTTTTTTCTTTAATTGGATTATATACAGGAAGAGAGGGAATTATCTTGATGACTCAAGGAAGATGCTTTCATTAAATTCCATTGTGGCATTATATTTTATTCAGTCTGAAAATGAGGAATGACATGAATAAAATGAAATTAATTTTTCCAGAAGAAACGTATAATTACCAAGAGTCTTTTTTTTTTATTTCCTCTTCCAAGAAATTACTGAGTGTTTGCACAGTGTGTAAGTAGAAAGTGAGCCAGAAAGACTAGTTGAATATGAATTGAAGTTTGAGTTGACTCTGTTCTGTTTGAGAAGTGTGAACTTGGCAGTGAAAATCAAAGCAGCACAACTTGTTTATTGGAAATTCCAAGCTAAGGAGGCAGCAGTCCAAATGTGCAGAAGGGCTGCTGGGCTTTCATAACAATGTTTAAAATGTAACCTCATTTAACATTTAGCAGAGAGTAAAACCATCCAAAACTCAGAGGAAAATTTAGTGAAAATACTTATTTGTTATAAATACATGACCAAAGTTGTTTACATTGTTTTAATCTGTCTTCAGTATTGAGCAGATTCATGGACAAACATTTCTTCAGTGCAGACAAAACAGTGCATGAAGGCCTAGCGTAATCCAGCTGATGTCTCCAGGTGTATTTACAATTTATGATATTGAATGTCCAGGGGAGATCTTTTTCTCCTGCTTCCAACTTGTTCTCATTCTTTTGGATTCATCTTCTCAAGTCTTCATGCATACAGAATTTCTGAATTTTTCTTTTTTTTTTTTTTTTTCATTTGTTACCATTGAAGATATTAACCTAATTACAATGATTCTTTGACTTTTACACATGGTTTCTAAATTGAATATTGAGAGTTTACGAAATTGTGCTGCCTACAAGAGAGTATCAGAGAAAGGGAAAAGTTGGGGGGCTCCATCTTGTAATTTCTGCAGCAGCAGAGGTGGGATGTTTTGAAGAAAAGTGGCAAAGAATGAAAATGAATCTCCCGTTTCCTAGCCTTGCTGGAGAATGTCATTAACGTAGGCAATGTGCTTGGTTTGCCAGTTATACAGAAGCTGTTGATTATGTTGTGCATGTGGGAAATAAATCGGGAAAAGGGATTTCCAGAGCGTGGCTGCAGTTTGCAGCAGATCCAGCAGTTCCCAGGGGTGGCTACAGAGACAACTGTGCGACGCTGCCCAGGCTCTGGTGGGAGCAGCAGTTTCCCAGACCAGGGGACACCGGACACAGCGTTTCCCCTGGTTCCTGTCAGCCAAAACTGCAGCACGAACATAAGCAGAAATAGAACTATCGTGTTTTCCACTCTAACAGCCTGTAGGATCTTACAGCACCAGTCTTTTCCACACAGTCACTGTTAGTTCCACAGAATTTATCTTCTACTTCCCCGTTTGCTGTCGTGGTAAATGTAAGAGGATATAGCAGTTGTGTAAGTGCTGCACGTCCACCTGGCTGCAATGCAGTGATGTTTAAGATAACATCACTTGGTTTTGGTCTTTGTATGAAGGGCGTTTTTTTTTATCAGTAATTTTTTCTAAGTGAGCAATCCTTATGTCCTGTGATACAGTGTTTATCTGACAGACCTCGATGAATAGTGTCCTTTCGTAAGAAATCAAAACTCACTCGTGTGTGAGAGGAAATATATATATTTTTTAGAATAAAGCTATTAAGGTAATGAAAAATGTATCGTATAAAAAGCTGAAGGCATTGTGAAACATTCATTTTCTGCATTTGTGGCTTGTGCTAGCTTACGATGTCCATTTGTAAATCACTAAAGATATACTTCTTAAACGGTCTTGTCTTTAATCTCCCTGTATGCACATATATACACATGGGTTCTTTTCATTGCAAAATTGTATTTTCTGTTGGTTTTAAGGCGGAGCCCCTCCCCAGGAGAGGAGGGGACAGTGTTAAGGGCCATTACTTGCTTAAGGCTCCTTGCCCTCTTTCCTCTTTCCCTGACCCCTCATGTCCCAGCAGAGTTGGGTACAGAATCCTGGAAACTGCAACTGTGTAATTCACTTATGGGAACAATGGGAACCTTTTCTATTAACAGTAAAGACTGTTTTTTTTTTTTCCATGAGAAGTGACTATTTCTGGTTTAACTCTTCTCATTAGAACAGTTTGAGAGATTGTAATACCATTAAGAAGACATGCTAAATGATGGCCCTTCAGGTGATCTCGTCTCTGCTTGGAGGAGTTTGCTGCAGACATTGCTGAGTTGTACACTTGATTTTTGGGTTTCGTCCCAGTGACATTTTAAATTGTATTTCTGCCCCTCTCGAGAGGTATGTACGTGTCAAGACACGAGAGGCAGGAAGGCTTCCTCAGTGATAACGTTTCGGATTGTGAGAAGTATTGTGACTCATTTAGGATTATTTTTCATGTAAGTAAAATTGTTTTGGGCACAGTGTGTTTCCTGTGATTCCAGCCCAAGGGCAAGCCAGGCCTAATCACTTACAGGCACATTAGAAACCAGAGGGCAACGTGATCCTCGGCATCTGATCCCCCGGCCCTCTCGCCTCCCTATCACAAAGATGTCATTATTACCCGGGGTTCAAAAGTTCTGCTCCCACAGCCGAGCCGACATCTCTGCTTTCCCTGCCTTTGTCTCCAGTGCTTTGGTACTCTCATGTTAATATGTGAGGAAAGATGTTTTCTCAAACTCACCGCAATCCTGCAGCATTTAGAGATGCTGGAGTTACAGTCCAGCAGCCACTCGGCTTTCTAAGCCTGGTGTCTTTAACTAAAGATACTTCTCTTCTTTGAAGTGTTATTGGTCAAAAAGTCTCATTTATTCTCACTTAATTTACAATATGTCTAATCAAGTTATATAAAATGTATATATAAAAAATTTATTCATTACATTGAAGCTTGAATCTTTAAAAAGGCCATGTCATAACATTCATGGGCTTTTCTGCCTTCAAAATAGGATTGTCAGGCTCTTGGATCTTACCCTGTTCCCTTGGATCTTATCCTGTGTTTTTTCCTCCTGGCTGAGGGTTGTTAACACACAGGAAAAAAAGTGGTTTTTTGTTTTTGGTTTTTTTTTTTAAATTTAGTATATTGCAAAACGAAGTCAGTTTAATTTAATGAAGAAAATCCTTGTTTTCTGAATATATGGCTATAAGATCTGAAGTGCCAATATGTTTCAGTGTTCGTTTCTCTTATATTTTCCCTCTTATTGGTTTTTGCAAGCTGTTACTTTGCAAAAGGATAAGGAAAGAGCTGCTTCCAGGCAGATCTGAGTCACTTTTCCTCTAAAGGGAGGTCACCTTTTCACCGGTCCTAAGAGAG